GCGCAGAAAGAGTCAACTAGAGGAGTCCCATGTTATGTATCATGGGCAAAAAAATTAATTTTTAACATCATTTTTGCGTAAAATTTAAAGTTCTTCTGACTTAATTGGTCCGTTTTGGAATCGTTGTTATTATGGAGTCCCATCACAATAATTAGAAAGCCACTGAGATACTAAGCACACTTTCCTTGGTCGATAATCGGTGTGCTTTGACGAGAGTATGTCAACACCTACAAGGCTACATGGATTGGTATTTTTGCGAAACATGTTTAACGGAATGCAGGGGAAGGTCTTTTCTGTTTAATTACAGAGCCTTGTATAAACATTAGGTTGGTTTGAAGAATTCTTCAAAGTTATGCAAACCTTCGACTTCGTCTTGGTATACACGATTTTCACGAGTTCACCCGGTCCTTCAGATTATTTAGATGAGGCTATGTGTAACTACGGAAAATTTCTCTATTGATTGGATTGTTTTCAGTTGTTGTTTAGGTGGAACTAAAATTTGAAAAGTACTCACTGACGTGCGACAAGATGATAATAAAAAGTTTTGCAGATAAATTATGACGCCTTACTGACAATTCCTCGCGTGTGTTAGGAAGCTATCGCCACCATCTCAGTGGCGGTAGCCCGGATGGAACATCGCAAAGCAAGCGCAGTTAATCGAAGTTCATGCATCCGGGATATCCATTCGTGTAATGCTGTCACGTATAATTGCACGAGAGATACTGATTGAGTATCTAACTCTAACAGGGATTGAGTCGTGGTAATCGTTCGCAAAACTCAATAAGAATAAGTAAATAGGAACTGGAGATTTTTCTTTGCGGTTTGGTCCGAGAACACTGGTCAAAATATACTTGACTGACTTCTACCCATATGTTATCCTTTGCATAGGCACGGCATCGCAGGTTTACGACGCAATGGCCTAGTTGAGATGCCTGCGAGGACAAAATGGCCATCGAGGCAAACATATTGAAAATGTCGGGCATCGACAACGACAGAGACATCTTAAGGAAATAAGGTGTCTATCTTAAACATTTATCATGCTTGACCAATTTTTGAAATACGTTTTATTTTGCACTTTTGCGATAATATGAACGAGATTTCTAAAAACCCCGTTTTTATAATTTAAATAAATTTCCATGGCCCG